ATTTACTATATGCTAGGCACCATGCTAAGCCCTTCACACGGATGCTCTCATTTGAACCTCACAACCACCAGCTATAGAAGTACAATTATTATCTCTATTTACAGATGAGAATACTGAGACTTAGGAGGGGTTAAGTAACTTGCCCAAGGTCACACAACTAGTAAGAGGTACGTTAGTCCTGAATAGAATGTCTCCCCATTAGGTCCTACCTTAGTTGAAATAGGAAATTTGAAGTAAATTATACCTTTTGGTTCAAAAATATTATTATCACTCTATGTGTAACTGATATATAAAAGGCAGTGTGAATCAATGGCCAAGTTGGGATTAAAACTGGGGATTCCATATTCTAGTCTTCAAATCATGATTTCTTGAAGGAGGCAGAGTGGTCTCAATGCTACCCATACAATCAGGGTCCCTGACCAGCCAGGAAAGATCAGCTCTGCCTCATATCCCAATACCACTGCCTTTGAAGAAAAGGGATTAGCAGAGAATTAAAGATGAACTACATGGGTTCCAACAGAATGTGGAAACTATTGAACAGTATCATTAATATCACACACAAGTAGAATTTTGCTGAAGATCATTCAAAAGCGGTTACAGCAGTACATCGACAAGGAACTGCCAGAAATTCAAGCCGGATTCAGAAGAGGACATGCAACTAGGGATATCATTGCTAATGTTAGATGGATCTTGGTTGAAATCAGAAAATACCAGAAAGATGTTTACCTGTGTTTTATTGACTACGCAAAGGCATTCAACTATGGGGATCGTAACAAATTATGGATAACATTGTGAAGAATGGGAATTCCAGCCAACGCTTAATTTTGCTCATAAGGAACCTGCACATAGGCCGAGTGGCAGTTGTTTGAAGACAGCAAGGGGGATACTGCGTGGTTTAAAGTCAGGAAAGGAGTGCGTCAGGGTTGTATCCTTTCACGATACTTATTCAATCTGTATGCTGAGCAATAATCCAAGAAAACAGACTATATGAAGAAGAATATGGCACTGGGATTGGAGGAAGACTCATTAACAGCCTGAAGAGGACTTGAAGCACTTACTGATGAAGATCAAGGACTACAGCCTTCAATATGGGTTACACCTCAACATAAAGAAAACAAAATCTCTCACAACTGGACCAATAAGCAACATCATGATAAATGGACAAAAGATTGAAGGTGTCAAGGATTTCATTTTACTTGGATCCACAATCAACATCCCTGGAAGCAGCAGTCAAGAAATTAAAGGATGTATTGCATTAGGCAAATCTGCTGCAAAAGACCTCTTTATTTATTTTTTATTGTTGTAGTTTAAATGAAGTTTACATTTCAAGTTAGTCTCCCATACAGAAATTTATATATACATTGTTATGCAACTCTAATTGCTCTCCCCACACTGTGACAGCACATTCCTCCTTTCCACTCCTGATTCCCCATGCCCATTCAACCAGCTCCTAACCCTCTCCGCCTTCCCATCTCACCTCTGGACAGAAGCTGCCCGTTTAGTCTCTTGTATCTACTTGAGCTAAGAGTCACACTCCTCACGAGTATCACTTTATGTCCCACAGTCCAGTCCAAACCCTGTCTGAAGAGTTGGCCTCAGAAAATTATTTTAGTTCTTGGCTGATAGAGAATCCAATGGCCATACTTTCCGGGGTTCCTCCAGTCTCAGTCAGACCATTAAGTCCGGTCTTCTTACTAGAATCTGAGTTCTGCACCCTACCTTTCTCCTGCTCCATCCGGGACTCTCTGTTGTGTTCCCTGTTAGGGCAGTCATTGGTGGTAGCTGGGCACCACCTAGTTCTTCTGGTCTTAGGTTGATGAAGTCTCTGGTTTATGTGGCCCTTTCTGTCTCTGGGCTAATATTTTCCTTGTGTCTTTGGTGTTCTTCATTCTCCTTTACTCCAGGTGGTTGGGACCAATTGATGCACCTTAGATGGCCACTTGCAAGCTTTTAAGACCCCAGCCACCACTCACCAAAGTAGGATGCAGAACATCTTCTTAATAAGCTTTGTTATGCCAGTTGACCTAGATGTACCCTGAAAGCATGGTCACCAGATCCCTACCCCTGCTATTCTGTCTCTCAAAGTGTTTGACTGTATTCAGGAAACTTCTTAGCTTTGGTTTAGTCCAGTTGTGCTGACTTCCCCTGTAGTGTGTGCTGTCCTTCCCTTTACCTAACTCTTATCTACAATCTAGTTAGTAAATAACCCTCACCCTCCGTCCCCACCCTCGTAACCATCAAAGAACGTTTTCTTCTGTGTTTAAACCTTTTCTTGAGTTCTTATAATAGTGGTCTTATACAATATTTGTCCTTCTGTGACTAACTTCACTCAGCATAATGACCTCCAGATTCCTCCATGTTATGTTTCACGGCTTCATTGTCGTTCTTTATCATTGTGTAGTATTCCATTGTGTGGATATACCATAATTTGTTTATCCATTCGTCCGTTGATGGGCACATAGATTGTTTCCATCTTTTTGCTATTGTGAACAGTGCTGCAAGGAACATGGGTGTGCATATATCTATTCGTGTGACGACTCTTATTTCTCTAGGATATATTCCATAGAGCAGGATAGATGGATCGTATGGTACTTATATTTCTAGCTTTTTAAGGAAGCATCAAATTGATTTCCAAAGTGGTTGTACAATTTTACATTCCCACCAACAGTGTATAAGTGTTCCAGTCTCTCCACAACCTCTCCAGCATTTATTATTTTGTGTTTTTTGGATTAAT